GAGTTTCCCAGCACGTCCCAGCATATCGACCACACATGTGTAGTGATCAGCATCAGGCTCAATATTGTAATCTTTAACCATGCTTTCCCAGTACTTCATTCCATCTTCAACGAGTCCTGCATGGCAGCAGGCAGTGAATACCCCAACAAATGTGATGCCATCGGGTTCAATATTTTCTACTGGCATTCTCTGGAAGATCTCAAGCGCTTTAACCCCATGACCATGGGAAGCAAGGCCTGTGATTAATGCACTATAAGAGAAAACATCCTTCCGGGGGATCTTCTCAAATATACCACATGCCTCTTCCATATTCCCACACTTCGCATGCATGTCAACTAGTGCAGTGAGCACTTGTTCATTCTGTTCTATACCTTCTCGATCCACATATGACCCAATCCAATTTGCCAGATCTGCACGGCCCAATTGTGCCAATGCAGAAATCACAGCTGTCATGGTGAAAGCATCTGGCTTTACCGGTGCCTTTTCCATTCTCCGGAAAAGTGAAAGCGCTTCGCTTGGTCTCCCGTTTTGTGAATACCCTGAAATCAGGGCCGTCCAACAAATCAAACTTCGTTCAGGCATTTCATCAAAGAGGCCCCTTGCTTGATCAATAAGCCCACTTTTAGTATACCCCACCAACATCGTAGTCCAAGAAACAACATTCCTCTCGGGCATCCTATCAAACACAGCCCTCGCTGAAACCAGATCCCCACTATTTACATAACCCACAATCATCGCGTTCCAAGATATAGCATTTTTTCCCAGCATTCCCTCAAACAAAACGGAGGCATCCTCCATATCCACCCCACCTCTCGCATGAGCCCCTAAAAGGGCGTTGTAAGAAACAACATCTCTCTCAGACATTTCATCGAACACCATCCGAGCCCTCTCCAATTCCCCACATTTTCCATACATATCAATCAAAGCATTTGAAACCGGAACACAAAAGCCAAAACCCATTTTAACAACGCGTCCATGGACCTCAATCCCAGCACAAAGATCATTTAACGCGGCACACGAGTTAAGCACAAAAGGGTACGTATAGTTATCGGGGCTTATTCCAAGGCAAACCATCTGAGAATACATACTTCTCGCTTCGGCACAGAGCGACGAGGTCTTAGAGAAAGCTCTAATGGCGTGGTTGAAGAGAGAGAGATTTGGGTTCGCGAAAGAGGTAAAGACGAGGTGGGTATATCGAGGGGAAGAGGAGAGAGAGGCATAGAGAGAGATTAAAGTGGAGGCTAAGGAGGCGTTTCGATGGAGAATGGACCGGACGATATGGGCGTGGATTTGCTTAAGGTGGCGAAGCGATGCGCAAGCTTTTAGCAGAGAGGCAGCTCCATCTGCTTTGTTGTTCGGATGGTTTTTGGTGACCGTTGTTGGTCTCATTTTTCACAAAAACTTCAAAGTTCGTTGGTTTAACGGCTCTTTGATCCTTTCCCGGTAAAAATATAACATAAGAAAATTATGTGAGCATTTTGGGCTTTTAAATTTGTTAAATGTAAAATTATGCGCAACAATATTATCTAATTTTTTGATACTATTATAATATGAATGGATTAATTAATAGTGTAACACCCCGACTCCAAACTAAATTCCTTATTCAAAGTATTTAATTCTATTAATTGTGTATTTATGAAATTACCCTTAGGGTAGCGGTATTTCGGTCATTTTCTTAACCGGGAAGAGTTTGGGGCTGTGACTGGTATTTTTGAATAGTTCGTTCTGAGATGAGTCCGTAGACACGTAGTGGGCTCGATTCGGAGTTGAAACGAAAGAGTTACATCAAAACAAGTATAGTGGCACAACCGTAATTTCTTTGAAGTTGGTTTGATAAAAATCTGGAAATTCCCTATCACTCTCTCTCTCTCTCTCTCTCTCCCTGCGCGCAGAAACAGCCCCCCATTTGGTTACTGTTCATCTACACGGTTTTTCCTTCGCCATTTCCTCTCCCAGCCACCAAACTTCGTGATATTGGTATCAAAATGTCAAGCTCACTTCCCTCTTCCTATCCCGACCCTTCATTGCTGGCACCGCTGCCCGTGGTAGCTGAAAATTGCAGAAAAGTCGCCGGTTTTACCCATAACTTGAAGGAGCTCGTTCAGGTGATTCCAGCAACCAAATTCTTCGAACTTTGTATGCATTTCTATCCTTTCAACATGCTCTAGCTGCTGGTTGATTTGGTAACCGTTCGATCGTCGATCGGATATCGCATATTGTTCGTTATCCGGGTTTGATAGGTCCGGACCGTTGGATCGACTCCATTCCAATATTTGTTAATCTAGATCTTTCTAGGATCGTGTAGAAATTTGCGGATCATGAATCGAAGCCCCGGATGTTCATATTCAATGACTTAAAGTTTGCGTTTTGCGATCACCGTCTGATCGTGCGATCGTGAGCCATCCGACCGTCCGTTTCGGACCAAACTTGCAGGACGTGAATCCTAAACCTTGTGGAACCCTTAGGAACTTTCAATTTGTCTCGTTCCTCGTACACTCTTTAGAAACCCCGGAAACTAGGATTTTAATTTAAAGTTCTCTTTCGAAACGTTTTGTGTTAATCTCGTATTCGTATTCGTATTCTGAAATAGGTACTCTGACCACGCATACGCAGCAGGCGGGACCCTCTCAGGGTCAAGCAGTGTGGGACTACTTGTGAGCGGACTTTGTTTTCAAATCTCAAGCATGGTTTTACTGATAGAAAAATATTACATATGGCTTTAAATGGTATATTGGATTTAATATATATTTGATTGACGATTTTGATGTTCTTATAAAGCTTTGGCATTATATTATGGGTTTTGACATATTTGAGTATCTTGAGTACGTATATTTGGATTTTGAGAATTTCTATCTATATGGTCTATGTGTAGGGTACTTGGGTTGTTAAGTTGAAATTGTGGAAATGTTTGAGTATAGAATGTCATTTTGGAGTGCTATAAGCATTACCCTATGTACCTCTCCCGATTTTGGAACATGGATACGGAAACTTGAGATACTTGGAATTGTCGGAATCTGGGGCATCCTTGACGGGATGTTGCTATAGACCCTTGATTAGGTAGTCTGCGCGCATAGGATTGGTCACAGACGTACGAGCTTTGAGTGTCTCGGCTGTACGTGCTGGCTGAGAGTTAGTCCTCCAGTTGGACGGCTCGTTCCCTAGCCACATGGTGAATTGATAAATTTTTGTTATGTGGACTCTGCCGTGTGGACTAGTCAAACAATCCCCCGGTTGGATTGTTTCCCCGGTACAACTAGGTGTGGTTATATTATATATATCTTATATTATATAATTATAGATATATATGTATAACTATTCCTTCATTCTTGTTTCTCGGGGAGGATACTTCCTCGCCGGTCGTGCCAATGGGTACGCTTTTGAGAGTTTAGTTTTTCGGGACTTATAAGTTTTGAATGGTGGGTTTGTGAAGTATTATTTATGGATTTCGGACTTGGCATCCGGTATTGTTTTGATGTGATATATACATACTTGATTATGATGGTTTTGAAATGGATTTGGATTTCTCGCATTATTTTCTAACGGTAGGGTTATATTATGTTGGTTCACACTGAACTGAACTGTATTTTTGTCCACTCACATTTTTCTGTTTTGCGCCCCATAGCCAGTAGTTGACTGAGCTCCGCAGCTGAGTCGAATCGTGTGCTTCCAAATCTTGAGCCTTTGTAGGAACTCTTTCATCATTTCATTCCTGTTGAACTTTGTTCTTGTTGTAACTGAAATTCTTAGACATGCTCTGTTATCGCCTGCGTAAGGTTTGATTTGTGAGGTCGAAGGCCTTCATTGTAAACTGTTTATTTGCTTTAAAGTATGCTGCTGGTTGGGATTGTTAAACTATGAATTTTGAGCAGGTTGAAGTTTGGGAAATGTTCAATTTACAGGGGAGATTTTGCCAAAAAAAAAAAATGGTAGAAAGTCTCGATTCTTAGTAAGTGGGCCCGGCATCGGGGTGATGTCAGTAATTAGGCGGGATTCGCCCCGGTTTCCGAGGAAATCCTGGGCAGGTCCTGTCAAATAGCGTGGTTGTTACAGTCACAATTTTATCTTATTTTTTATACGCGTGTTATAATACAAATGAATTAATATTTTCTCTCTTTTTCTTTTTATTTTTATTATAAATATAAACGATATTCTACTTAAACTAATATAAATTATAGAAATGAGGATTCAAACTCAGGTGCAAAGTAAGGAACATATCCACTCTAACCAACTTGACTAAGCTCATCTGTGCAATGAATTAATATTCTCTCACTCAAATTATCTCGCTAGAATGAATCTCGAATGAATCTTACAGTAATTTTCATCCAACTACAATAAGAGATTGTAAAAGAAATTAATAAATTAGATTCTTTCAATGGATAATATGCCATTTTATCTTTTAGCAGGAAAGATCTTGGAGCCAATAATGCTAAAGGAGTGTTGCGACCAAAAACGAAATGAATGAGAGAAGGGGATATAATAAAAGAAAAGAGAGATCTTGAATTGATCAAGTTATTAATTTTTTTTTTTCGTGGGAAAAAGGGTGTAGATTTATTTGTTGCAAGAACTTGCAACCCCTTTAAGATTTGATTTAATATGTATTGTTATACTTACAACCGTATTGCATGACAAATTGTATCAACAATAGCTGCTTTTTTTTTTTATTATAATAATAAAATTAGTTTTTTTATTTCTTTCAATACATATGTCGGTAGAGAGAGATCCTTTCTACAATGCATATATATTGTTGAAGAGTATAAAGTCCCACATCGAAAACTTAACTAAATAAATTACAACTTATAATAAGTGGTTCCACTCCTAATTGCATAGATAAATTTCTCTCTCTCTCTCTCTCTCTTTATATATATATATATGTATATATATATTTAATTTCAATCTAATTACAACAAAAACATTAATAATTAATTAATATACCCCCCCTCACACCATGCACATAGCATAGCTATAGGGAATTTCTCATTAATCTTTATAAATAATTATGCTCAAACCATTCTTCCAACAGAATACCTTGAGGGCAAACTGCCGTGAAGGCCGCCACCATGACCTAAATAATAAGGCTTCTCACCACACTTGAAAGGAAGAGGGTTGGCCTGCATGAACAAATAGTTTCCACCAAACAAGTCGTTCATGTGAGCCTGCCCATTCTTCAACCTCTTCAAAGCTTTGCTCCATGAAACTTTGATCCTTGTGAAAAGCCTAGCTCTTCTCCTCAGAAACCTCCTCAAGCCTGCAACCCGAACCCGTGGCCTCCTCCTACCAGTTAGCTTCCTGATCTTGGACCACCCACCACTTGTCTTCTTGAATATAACTGCTCTGTTTTGCTCTGGTTCTTCCTCAAAGAGACCTTCGTTTCTCAGCCTTTGGTAAGCAAGTTCTGAGACTGAAGCCATTTTGAGTGGAAATGGTTATGGTGGAATATTAGATAGAGGAGTTGTGTGAGTAATTTAAAGAGGGTTGTTTTTTGTTTTTATTATGTTTTTGTGAGTTTTTTTAGGTCTCTCTCAAAATGAAATTGAAAATTTAAAAAGTGAACAAAGTTGTTCACGTGTAATGAATGCAGCTGAAATTTTTGGTGATGGTATTTAATGAGTCCGTGATGTATTAAGGTTCCTATATGCTTAATCAGAGTAGGATCTCACTATCAGAGAAATCAATCCTTCGAAGTAGTAGTCACAAACTCACATTAAGGTTATTTTATAAGAGTAACATTTACTGTGTTATGAATTATAGCATCTGCCGTTCTCATGTCAAATAGTCTAATATGTTTTAATCCCGGTCACACATTTATCAATATTTCAGATTAGTAGCCTAACATAACATATCGAACCATCTTACAAAAATTTCTCATGGTTATCTTGGGAAGCCGTATTAGGATATGTAATTAGGTAGGTAAACATTCCTCACTCTAATTATATATGACATAGACGTTCATGACCTTGAAACCAATCACATGCAAATGGACCAACATCGATATCATCTGCCATCATACTAGACACCTTTGGTTATATGAAATTAAAGCTTCTATATTGATGTGGTAATTTTTTTTAACTGTGTTGGCATGTTATTTTACATGAATTATTCTCAGCCCCATCTAACATTTTTGGGATTTTGTAGTACTAATTAAAAGGAAAGGACCTCAGAGTCTTCACTGATGTAGGAACCTAACCCACTGAGATATGCTAGGAATTCCACCATTCACAACAGTGAGCATATAATAACCAGAGGGAGCAACATTAGGAGATGGGGGAGCCTCCAAAACTGCATGCACCAATCCACCTTCAGCCCTCACCAATCTCTTGCACCTCAATTTCAGCAACCTCTGGTTCATGGATATGGAGTGTGTTGTGAATGGTGGTGCATAAGCACTAAACTCCACCACTTTGCTTGGCTTCCTCCCCAACCAAAAGCTCACATTAAAATCTCCCCCATACCTTACACCAGAGAGATCACCATGGCCATAGTTTATGGTCAAATTTATAGGTCTATATGTATGGTATTGCATTCCCATGTAGTGTGGGGCAAATGCTTGGAGCCTAAGCTCAGTTGGGTAGGCCACATTGCTGAAAGTGTAGCTTTCATGAGGGTTGCCTCCACCAACCAAGACCCTCCCATCAGGTAAAAGAATGGCTGAGGAGTGATACATTCTAGCAATTTTTGTGGACTTGAGGACAGAGAATCTTTTGCCTAATTTGTGATTTGGGTTGTACAGATAAGGCTGGTGGGAAGCATTTCTTGCATTGTTCCATCCTCCAGAGCCTCTTTTGGCACCATTGATGATCAAAACATTCCCAGTTGGGAGGATCAGCATGTCGCTGAGAAGACGAGAGCCCGGCATGTTCTCCATGTTCCACTTGTGTCTGTTGCCTGTGATCACCATTCTTCCACAGGAGATTAGGCCTTTCAAGAATCTGTTTTGTCCTGCTGCTCTGTGGGCTCCAGAGGCAGCACCACCACACACCATGACTTCCACTCTTTGGAAATTGTTTGTGTGGTCTAATGGGAGGATCACTGATGAGCCAGAGCCTGGATAGTTCCTAGAGCCATCACCAGGTATTCGAGGGAAGGTCTTGATCACTATGTTACTTCTGTAATTGAAGAGAATGGAGTCCCGGTTGGCAAAGATGAACAAATTTCCATCTGAAGAGAGGTGAAGGAAGGGATAGAGGTTGTTCCCTCCTTCACTTCTGTCATAAGTTTCGTGCAAGAATGATAGGTCATGAGAGCCTTCATTGGAAGACATTTTTGGTATAAATTCATAAGTAAAGGTCCTTCTTCCACCAACCACAATGATCCTATCATGTTCTGGGAGCAATTGATTGGAAGCGTACCAACGATCATCAGCCAGTGATCTCTCCGATTGCCTCCAATCACACTGGCCATCCCCACAAGACTTGAAGTATCGAATTCTTCGTGTGCCACTTCCATATCCACCCGTTTGCAGAAGTGTCCCGTTGCTCAAGAAAGAGCCTGAGGAGCACCAGGTATCAGTGTAAAGCCTCAGAGGTCTAACTTTGTTGCTTGAAATGTCATACTCCACGGAGTGAGCATAGCAGGATGAGTCTGCTAAATCGTCACGGCTCTCTGTGCATCTGTTTCCATTGTGGCGCCTTCGAAGCCTGTACCCCGAGGGGCCAGCTTCTGTTTGATCAAATATAACGACAGTGTTGTCATGTGTCAATGCCATATGCATAGCCACTACGCCGGTGTTGTTTAGCAGCAGCTGCCATTGCCCTTTCTGGCCTACAGCAGAGAACCTCCCGACTGCACCACTAAACCCAATACAATGCAATGTGAAGAACAAAGCAGCGATCATGGATTTCATTGCAATGAGAAAGTGATTGTGCTGCGCCATGGGAGAGTGAGAGTGTACTTTCTATGTGTATGACTGATGTGGGAAGAGTTTTAAGTCTTTTTTTTTCATATATAGACTTGTTTGCTAAAATTTAGTTTGCCCAGTCCCTAAAAGTAGTAGAATTTTATGAAACATTGTCTTGCTGTGAAAGAGTGGAAGCTTATTTTATTATTGGCGTGTTTGGTCTTCTTGCAATCATCTAGTGTGCTGCTTGTTCGGTTTTCTTGCAATCAAGGGGTGAAATTGGCAATTGGCTTGCAAGAAATCAGTGGTTCAACCATGCTTTTGAAGAGTGAGTCTTTGGCTGATGGCACAAGACTCCCCCAAACTTGGACAAAGTGCAGGGTAAAAATGTTATTGAATTTGCAGTTTTCTGAGCTCTGCTAACAAATAGCCAATGGCCTTTGGCTTGGGGCTAAGAACCCCAGCCAGAAAAGTTGACGCACGACATGTCAATTTCGTGTGTTGGACATAAAATGATATGCCGTTTATTCATCACTTGGTCTCAGAATGACATGCCATAGCCGAGCGGTCCTCGGTAGATGAGCCACAAGGTGAACTTTACTGACTGGTTATATAAGGTATATCTTGTGTACATATATGTGGAGCCATAAAACTACTTGTTACATGTTGAATTTAATTGGGCAAAAGTAGAAATAAGTAGAAGAAAAAAAAACACGAGGAGCAACAAAATTCAAACAAACACTGAACTAGCCATAGCAGCAAGTCTAACAGCGAGTGTCCTATGCCAGCCCAGACCTCAAAAGTGGAGGTCTTTCATTCTGTAGGTGATTGAGCTATTAGACATGATGCATGGAGAAATATTCCCAGGAATCCAAAAAAACTGAAGATATGTACAAGGAGCCGAGTTCCTCTCGATGAAAGAAAATTGTAACGAATTGAAATAGTCTTGGAGTTGAAGTTGCAATGGTCCAAATTTCAGGCGGACTAACGCTTAATAGAGCTTTATTCGGGTTTCAATGGTGCTTCTGCAAATGGGGCATAATTGAAGATCTTGTCCACAGTCACAGCATGTCTGCAAATTATATTGAAGTCCAACTCAGGTATTCATTCTTGCATGCAATTCTTTAAGGTGTAAACAACGTATAGATGGATTACCTGATGTCCACAACCAAATGCCATATTCTTCGGATCGGTCAGGCAAATGGGACAGACCTGTCAGAATCACAAAAATATAAGTATTTGATGTCCATGACATATGTTAAGCCTACTCATCAAAAGATTCAGTGGCACAGCATGATAATTATGCTAGAAACAAATGCAGCTCAACTACAGAAGTAGAAAGAGGGCAAGTACATGATTATCAGAAGCTGAACTTGCAGGACGTGCTGTGCTAACAAACTCATCACGTTGCCTGGATGGTGCACTTGGACGAAAATTACTTGATTGTGACGGTTTTGGCATGCTAAAAGAAGCCGAACCATAATGAGGAGGGGGAAGAGGTACCCTATCTACAGCCTTCCCTCCTGTAGAACTACATAAACAATGAAAGGAAAGGATGATTTGCAAATGAATTTATGTCACCCAGGCTCCCAGCTGCAATAGCAAATCCCTCAAACCCCACTAGACAGGAGTTAGATTATCACCCTAATATATTAAGCTCGAGGGTTGCTTTATACTGGGAGGGTATTTCCATCAACGCTGCAAGAGCAAATTCTGCTTCTTTTCTCGAACGATCCATATTCTTTGTCATAATTTCTGTAAAATTCACAAACTACAGAAGACAAAAGAAAGCAGCAACTTTCAGTTAAACTTTGAAGAGATAAGAGACATGAAAGCTTACATACTCCATCAAGATGATATCCGCTATACTTGCCTGAAAGTTATCGAAGGCCCGAGCAGGGATGTTATCATCAAATTCCTTCATCATATCCCACGGCCCATCTCCAACTCCAACTAGTATAATTGATAAGGGATACTCACTACAATATAACAAGTACATCATAAAATAGATTGGCAAAAAGAATAAGACCAAGGAAACAAGTCTAAGAATTTACCTTGCTTTCACAATTGCCTCAACTGTTTTCCTTTCCTGTGGGCTTAACTGGCCGCGCTCTGTATCAACACTCCTGGTCACCTGTGACAATTTTCAGTCTCCTTTAATAATTTAACACAAGAAATCATATCACTATGCAAAGCCTTCACTGCTTGATCAGACAATTCTCGGACAGGTACAACTATAAGATATAACCAAAAACAATGTACCTGTCCATCAGCTATTATGACCAACACATGGTACTGACCACCACTTTGCTCAACAATAGTAATGGCCATTTCAATAATAGGGGCAAATGATGTGGGCCCTGTCACAAGAAAAGAAGGGTATGAATCTCCATAAGCAAATATTCAACCAAGAAAAACAAGGGAAAAGGGAGTAAAACAAATTGCAACCGGCAAGTCGTAGCTGAGGGACTAATTCTCTATATCGTCTTAATACTTCTTCAAATCCATTGCAAAAAGATCCCTCTTCTGGGTAGAAACTGAAAACTTCTTGGTCATGGGTTGATGCTGCAAATA